TTCTCCTTTTGGAATTTGAGGCACACATATGTGCCCCACATGATTTTCAAGCCACCAGTTTGGGACTCAACTACAAAGTTAACCATGTAGGATCCAGCCACATTAACTTTCACTTCACCTGTTGGCCCCTCTAAATACTTTATTATTATATGGAAATAAGTCAATAACCGAGAATGAGGTTGGAGGGTTGGGAGAATGGAGATTTGGGAAGAGAAGTGCGAAATGGCCATCTGGGAAAGTAGGGGATTAGATGGTTTGTGATTTTCAAAGTGTGGTATAGGGGCACTAGGAGCCTCTGGGACATTTTCAGGGGATCTTTAGGAGCAAAATTATCTTCAAAATAAAGACTAGCACTGTATTTGCATTTTCCACTTTCATTCTCTTCTGAGGGTATGGTGGAGATTTCTAGAGGCTACATGATGTGAAATCATTGTAAAAGATTGAATGCATAAACATTCTGGTTGGTATTGTTAATTAAGATTTCATTGAATATATACATTTGTTGGAATTGGTCTATTTATAATATTGAATCCTCTTATCCATGAAAATGGTATATCCTTTATTCATTTACGTTTTATTTCCATTTTTCTCAACATTATTTGATAGCTTTTCATATTCAGTTCTAACACATCTTTGATTAGACTTATCCCAAGGCATTTGATTTACTTGTTGCTGTTATACATGATATTGTATGTGAGCAATGTTTTCTGATTTTTTTAACGTTAATGTCTAGGAATTAAAATGAATTTTATATGTTGACTTATAGCAACCTTACAGAGTTCACTAACTGTTATTCTTTAATCACTTTAATTTTTAAATGGTATTTTTACTTGATCTAGTTTTAGAAGTAAAGATTTTGTCTATATGGCTGTGTGTGCATGCACATGCTTCTTTGTGTACACTTCCTTCAGCATTTAAAAAATATCTTTACATTGTCTTTTGCATTTATAGTTCCTATTGAAAAGCTTCTTGAAGTCATAATTTTACTTCTTTGTAGATAATGAGTTTTTCCTCTGGTTCCTTTTATACTTTAAAATATACATGTTTTTAAAGTGCCTGACAACCAAAACACAGGACAAAAGGGGTCAAATGGAGTTTAGTTTCTAAGTATCTAGCAATTTTGGTTAGTGATAAAAATAATTCTATGTAGACTATACTAACTAACCTCTAAAGAATAGTAAAAATGTATAACCAACAAGTTAACAATAGGGTGGGCCAAATCTTATTCTTAGGTTGTAACTAAAATCAGTAGTATGTGGCTCCCAAATGACACCTAAGAGGAAATTGACGGATTTTTTTTTTTCAAACTTCCCCATTTTGGAAGAGCTCTTATCCTTTGGAATTGCAATTCTTCTTGTCCTCTTGCTTTCTTTCACAAACTCTCACATGCCTTTAAAAATATAAATTTAGAGGCCAGCTCATGGCATGATATTAGGCAGCTAGATCTCACATGGTCCCAGAGCTGGTGGCTTAAAAAACACATTAGGCACCTGTGTATATATGGCCAAAATCCCAAAAGGAGAGCGAGGTGGAGGAGAAGGTGATCATGACCCATTGGGGGCATGGAGGGTTCTTTCTTAATTTCCCTCTCTCTGTCTCTGTCTCTCTCCAGCTAGCACACACACCCTGTGTGTGCTCTCGCACTCTCTCTCTCTCTATATATATATATACATACATATGTATACACACACACACACACATATATATGCATAAATTTTGTAATTTGTCTATTATTCTCTAGTAGTGGGAGTTTTGGGTTGCTGCCACCTACTACATCTGATCTGACTGTAGAAATCCCTAGGAACAAGATTTCCCAGGTTCTTTCCCATTTTTTTGGATTCACGCCTTTGCCTATTGAATGATTTCTTTTCTCTAGTTAATTTTATCCTTTTTTTTGTTTCTCCAAGCATTACAAATACATTCTCAATCAGGTCTTTGGAAGTTTATAAATTATTTTAATTTGAATATAAATAAATATCTGATTTTTGAATTTGCTGCTTTCATTCTGAGCTTTATGAGTTTTGTAATTTTTTTTCACTCTCCTATTTTGGATCTCCTTTTTATGACCATTTCATCTTTGCTCTTCCCACGCTAATTGTTATTGATTGCTTCCACCACTCCTCATCTCCAATGTGATTGAGAATGAGGGCTGAAAATTTAGTACAAAGTGCCTTACTCCAAGCTGATATTAGCAATTTTGTAGCTGTAGTCAGTGACCTAGGGATCATTTTATAATATGTTGAGCTCTGGTCTCCCCTGATGCTAGTTTTTTGTGTTCCCTGCTGTTCTTAAAAGCCATAGCCCTAGGTGGTAATCAGGAGGACTTTCTATTTTTTATTTCTTTCATTACTCAAAGGGTAAACCCCAACCAAAGCCCTTAGTTGCAAACAGTGAGTCTGAGTGCTATTAAAAGAGTCAGGAGAACCAGTAGTCCCTTCTTGCCTCCACCAGCAAATCTCCAGGCCCCCACAGCATCCATTATTAGCAAGCTAGAGCTTTAGCCTCTCAGCACTGAGCTCTTTTCTATTTCTGTTACTTTGTAATGTTTACCTTATTTCTAACTGAGTGTGTGTTTTTGTTTTTTTTTTTTACATTCCATATTTCCCTGCTTTGTTTAGCATAGTGGAGACAGTTCATAAAATAATGGCATTACTCCAACACCTTGGTCAAAAGTTCAGAGACACATTTTACCCTATATTTTGGCCAAATTCCTAAACCAACTTATCAAGTATACTGACTGGATTTTTTTTTTCTGGTAAATGAATAGATAATATTTGATTCCTAACTGCTTGAAAATATTGATTATTTTACATGTTTTCATTTTACATGTTTTAATTCATTGGATGGGCAATTTGTTCCTAAGTAAAGAATATAGGACCTAGCATTGTTTTCCAAGAGAAGATAAAATACATTGACTAAAAATTGTTAGTGCTTTACTTTTTCTACATTCTTCTCATCTTCTATAAAAATATATATTTTTTGAAGCCTTATGTTTACAAGAATTTAATAATTCTATTTATAAAGTGATAAGCAAATGTCTCAATAGACTGATTATTTTACAAGATGTTAAGTATTGGGATTAAGTAAACTCTGAATGTATAATGTTCTAATGCTTAATTTTACTAAATAATGTGAGATTTCAGGCTCCAGAATTCAAATTGAGTAATCTGGTAATGTTACATATGATTTAATTTTTACATTCCTTAATATCAAGAGAGGTGATATTGAATGTAGAAAAATACATAGATATTTATTGAAAAACATTAAATCTGAAGGCATCTTTGGTCAATAGTCATTCATAATTCCTCCAGGTCTAGCATGGTCTAATGTAACTAGATAAAACATGTGGGACAATCTTTATTTATTTGAATGAGTATACTGGGGTCTGCACATGGCATGGTGGTTAAGGCACTGGACTCCAACATGGCATACTTTGGTTCAAGTCCTGGACCTGGGGACTTGTTTTCTCACTTTCCCTCCTTCTCTGTCTATGCCTCTTCCTGGTGAGCATGTCTGCCTTACAGCAAATTTTAAAATAATAAATAAAATTAAATAATTATTTTTTTAAAAAAAAAAGAACATACTGATAAGTCACAGAAAATAAACTATAGATCCAGAGTTAATGAATTCAAGAGCTACTGCTCTCTCTCTCTCTCCTAAGCCCCTCGTGTGCATATGCACATGTCTTCTATCATGAATAAAATAAATATATTTAAAAATATGAAGATTAGGGCCAGCAGGTGGTATAGTGGTTAAGGCGTTGGTCTCCCAACTTGGCTGACCATGGTTTGAATCCTGGACATAGTGGCTTGCTTTCTCACTTTCTATCTGGTGAGCACATGTGTTGTATAGCAAATTTAAAAAATAATAATAAACAATTGAAGATTAAGAAAGAATTTTACTACACAAAGAGAAGGGGGCAGAGAAAAATGAAAATGGAAAGACTGTTGTGTAATTGTACCCAGTGAAGGTCATTAGAAAGATGCTGCTTGACTGGAGTAGATTGAAAAGGTGACCAGCTGCAGTTGAAATCCATGGAGGGGAGGGAGCTGTTGGAGGTGTGTAGGCTGTTAGGGTGGCCCAGGTGAGGGACTTGATGGTCATTTGTGCTATGGTGATGATGTTACAGACTGAAAGGGAGTTCAGAGATTTGGGGAAAGACATACTTAATGTTGCACAGTGATAAATTGGGTCTGAGTGGTTATGGGATTGAAAGATGAAGAGAGTTGTAGGAAATGTTATCTGAAATTTCTGATATTCGCAACTGGGTAGATAATGTCCCCTTGGCTGTTGTATCCTTATTGAGCATGCAGCATCCATCAAGTAAATATCTGTTGACAATGAACGAGCACTGTTTTATTTAGGAAAAAGTTATATTTAACTAAATATAAATTACCTGGGTAGAAATGCATTATTCAATACAATAAAACCTAACCGTTTGTTCCTTACATTTTGCAAGTACCTCCAATGAGACCTGGAGTATAGTTTATGTTCAAACATATGGATTTTTGAAATAAAATTTGTGCGTGTGACAGACTAGAATAAAGTGGTAGTAATTTTGTGAGAGAAATGATGACAAAACACTTAGAAATTCCATACAGCTCTTGATGTTTCTTACTAAAGTGATCCTTGAAATTTGGTTTGTTTTGTCATTTTTCTCTCTACACCTTTTATCCTTGTTATAAAAATTCACATTTTTTATCCCTTTCTTAAGAAAATCAGGAAGAGAACATTGAAATCTAGTTTCCACCAGTTCTTACTGTACTTCTCTTTCATAATGCTGAGTTACTAACACACATACATGCACTTTATTTATTGTGGAAAATGTTGTTAGAAAAGTGAACTGATTTGAGGTAAGGAATTGAAACTTGAATAGCAGTTTTATTCTAATACTTTGTCTTAGTCTTGAACCATGTATAGTTAGCCATACTAAAGTTTGAGTAATCCATCTTTCCATCAAAGACAATAGCTTTCGATACTCATGAGGATGTGTCTTTCAGGTGCGTTCTGCTCCCCCTTTTGGGAATGAAGCCCCCCCAGCAGAGCCTCTACCTGCTCGTTGACTCTGTGGATGAAGGGTGTAACGTAAGTGAAGGGGAACAGACGTCGACCAGCCTGTCTGGGACCGTTGCAGAGCTATTAGCTGGTCACCATGAGTTCTTCCCGCCATGGCTGTTGCTTCTCTGCTCTGCCCGCAAACAGAGTAAGGCTGTTACCAAGATGTTTACTGGTAAGATCATCATTTACTGCCATTCCCAGACCTTTTCATTGATGAACCAACTGTGTTTCTTAGAGGAACGACCACAGTTCAAAATCTGGATGTCTTTTATCAGGTATTCTCAACTGTACCTTTTAAAAGTTATATTAAAAACAAGTTGTAGTGGGCCAGCAGGTCATGTAGTGGTTGGGGCACTGGACTCCCACATGGCTGACCAAGGTTCAAGTCCCAGACCTGGTGGCTTGCTTTCTCACTTTTTTTTTCTCTCTCTCTCTGATGAAATTAAACAAACAATAATAAATAAATGACTGGCAACATAACGTAATGGTTACGTTGCTGGACTCCCACATAGTCAACCATGGTTCAAGTCTCAGACCTGGCGATTTAAAACTCAACGTCACACCAGGCACATATGCCTTAAATCCTGAGAAGAGAATGGAGGAGAAGGGGTTGCAATGTGGCCATCCCCTCTGGGGAGTAAGTTCTCGCTTTCTGTCTCCCTGCCTCTGTCTCTCTGGTGAATGCATGCACCCTGTAACAAAAATCTCTCTTAAAAAATAATAAAGTAAAATAAATAATTCTTTAATAAAAAGAAGTTGTAGCATGTTTTAAGATTATTTAAACACTACATTTTTTTAAAAGATTCTCTTCCTGTTTTAGTAAAAGAAGTATGAAGTGCATAGTTGCTCCTATATATTATCTATAGGGCTGCATTTATTATGCTATGGTATCAGTTTATGACTTTTCTACTCGCTAGACTGAGCATCCTGTTTTTTTATATATACCTTTTTCTGATGTGTGAAAGCATAGACTAGATAATGATTAAAGCACATGACCAGTTTTTCTTCCTTTATATTTTTTACTTCTCTTTTTTTAGTAGCATAATAAAATTGTGATTACTCCTGTTACATTATATAAATCACTCTTTCTCCTGTGAGAAACAAAAGGAGTACAAGATAAGGACTTCCAACAGACGTTACAAGAGATCTTCCATAATATGTATTATGAAAAAACTGTGGATGGATTTTTTTAAATTTTTGCCCGAACAGAATCTGGTCCTTTAATTCCATTTTCCCACCAAGTTTTTGAAATAATTGGAGCACTGTTAATTAAGTTGGTGGTTAATTAACCATATCACATTTAAGGAGATCTGCATGTTTTACAATATGATGAAACCTTATTAATGTGTCAAAATGATTTTCTGTAACCAGCTTTATTCCCTCTCAGGTTCTCTCTCTTGGATTCTCTTGCTACCAATGGCAGTGTTCCTGGTTTCCGTGTACAGAATCCTTTCTTGTGGTTATTAATACAAATGTTGGTTAAAGTTTGGGGATTAAAATGACAGTTCAGCGTAGATAGAGCTGAAGTCTTTTGTGGTCGGTGTTACTACTCATTCCTTTCTCTTCATCATTTAAGGCAAACGGTTATCATTAGCTTACTTTATTTTCTCCCAAGTCATGTTTATATACTGTGTATTTTGTTTAATTGCCAGAGGACACATGTAATCACCAGAGATAGACAGGGAGACAGAGAGAGGATGAGAGGGAGAGTAAGTGCCCTTCAATGGGGCATGGCCACAGTGCAATCCTTTGTCCTCCATTTCTTCATCCTCTCAGGACTTTGGGCACTCACTCATGCCTGTCTGGTATGGTTTTCAAGCTGTCAGAGCTGGAATTCGAACCACAGCTGACCATGTAGGAACTAGCTCCTTTAACCACTATGCTATGGGGCCAGCCGTATACTGTGTATCTTTGTAATTTACAGAAATTAAACATTATATATACCATCATTAAAAAAAAAATTATTTCTTTATTTATTTTAATTTGACCAGAGAGGGACAGAGAGAGAGAGAGAGAGAGAGAGCCACCACATCTGAGTCTTGAATCGTGGTTGGCCGTCTGGGAGTCCAACACCCTTAACCACCACGTCCCCAGTATAGATACCATTAATATATATATATATATATATATATATATATACACACACCTGTCATCTTAGTTATTACCACTCACTAGCTGTGTGACCTTATGCAACTTATTTATGGTTTGTCTCATTTTCCTCATATATAAAATGAGGATTATGATGCTACTTTCCTTACAAGATTTTTGTAAAGTTAAATGACAAATTATAATGCCTAATACATAGTAAGTGCTTCATATATGTATTGTTGCTATTATTCTTATAATTATTTATCATTATATTTTTAAACAAACTTTTTTTTGGGGGGGAGAGGTTTTTGCTATAGGGTTCATGCGCTTGCCAGACAGACAGAGACAGACAGAGAGACAGAAAGCGAAAAGTCACTGCCCAGGGGAGATGGCCACACCGCAATCCCTTCTCCTGCATTCTCCTCTCGGGATCTTGGGCACGCACGCATACGCGCCCAGCATGAATTTTAAACCACTGGATCCGGGACGCAAACCGCGGTTGACTACATGGGAGTCCAGCGACATAGCCATTACGCCAACTGCTGGTCCCCAAACAAATGTATTTTTATTAAGGTTTTTGCTATAGGATACTTAGACTCATCCTAGAGGAACAGAGAGACAGTGAGCCATTTCCTATTACCTTCACTAAATCCAGTTCATCGGTTTTAATTGCTGGTAGTACTTCTCCCCATGAATAAATATACTATTTATTTTGCTGTTCGCCTCTCTGTGGACATGCAGATTGTTTTCCACTTGTCACTGTTACCAAAAATGCTTTTTAATCATGCTATGCATGTCTTGTGCACGTGTGCCAGAGGTTTACACGATAAACCTAGACTTGTGTCCAGCCATGGAGGGACAGGTGGTAGGTGTCACTGTGTGATACACACACCAGGGCTCAGGTCCCAGGTCAAATCTGACCATGACAAGTACTCCTGTGGGTATGCTTGTCATTCTGGCTGGCCGGAAGGCTGGGGAGATTGTGGCATGACGAGACCATGTCAGGGTCTCTTCCTCTCTCACACATTTATGAAATAAATAAATAAACTTAAAAAAAGAGTTGATTTTATAAAAATTAAAAACCTAGATTTAGAATTGGTAGATTGTTGGGGCCGGCAGGTGGCATGGTGGTTAAGGCCCTAGTGCCAGGTTCGAGTCCTGGACCTGATGGCTTGCTTTCTGCCAGGCATGTGTGTGTGCATGCCCAAAATTGTTTTCCCCCGCCCCCCCCCCCCCCCGGTCAAATTAAAAAATAAAATTAAATGAATTTTTTTTTAAGAGAAAGAATTGCTGGATTATATTATGTACATTTTGAACTTTAGTTCATTGCAATATAGGTAGCTAATATACTTGAAATAATTTATAGTCCTACTAACAAATGAGATTTCCATTTTCTCTATTTTCTCATAATCATCATTTATTTTCAGGTTTGCTAGTTTCTCCTTGATGTTCTTACTCATGTTCTGACTGCTCTTCTAAACTTTCTGTCTTCTCATTTAGATTATCACTCCTAAATATCAATCACACACAGGATTCTATGTTTTCTATTCTAGTTTTTTTATTTAAAAAACATTTTTTTAAGGTTTTGCCATAGAGTGCATGCACTGCCGAGAGAGAGAGAGAGAGAGAGAGAGAGAGAGAGAGAGAGAGAGAATGAGAAGGAAAGTGAGAAATCACCCCCTGGGACGTTGGCCATGCCACAATCCCTTGTCCTCCATTATCCTCTCAGAAAATTATGGGCACACACGCAAACATACCTGGCATAAATTTCAAGCTATCAGATCTGGAACTCAAACTGCAGTCAGCCATTTGGGAGTTTAGTGCCTTAACTACCATGCTGCCTCCTGGCCTCTCTAGTTTTTTTCCTTTTCTTTTTTTTTTTTTTTACCCTGTCCAGTTACTTAGTCACACACTCTCTTTATTTGGTTTTATTTTCTTCATGTTTTAAAATTTGTGCATATTTTATATTTATTTCCTTACTAGTCTGTCCTCTATGACAACAGATATTTTCCTGTGAGAACAGTGTGTTGCCCATTACTGTATCACTTCAGTATCTAGACCACAGCTTGGAAGAAAGCTGATATCTGCAAATGAATGAGTTGTATTTTCTTTGAACCTACCCTTAGTGAAAACATGTACTGGGAATTGAAACCTGATTCCCAGAGGTGATGTTAATTTTAAAACTGCACGTATATAAACAATTGACCATCTCTCTGTTAATGGTAGATTTGAAAGTTGGAGGTAAAATTTTAAGAATCTTACTAAAGTTATAAGTATATCCTGTCAAATTGCCTTCCAAATAGATCTATATCATATTATATTTCCTACAGGAAACTATTGGTCTTTTTGTACTTCTATCAATATCAAATTTTTTTTTTTTTTTTAGAACTTGTTTGGTGGGAACCAGCAGTTAGCGTAATGGCTATGTCGCTGGATTCCCACGTAGTCGACCGCGGTTCGTGTCCCGGACCCGGTGGCTTAAAACTCACGCCGGGCGCGTGTGCGTGCGTGCCCAAGATCCCGAGAGGAGAATGGAGGAGAAGGGATTGCGGCGTGACCATCCCCCCTGGGGGGTGATTTCTCGCTTTCTGTCTCTATGTCTCTCTCTGTCTGTCTGGCGAGCGCACGCGCCCTACAGTGAAAATCTCTCCAAAAAAAAAAAAAGAACTTGTTTGGTGTGTGAAAGGTGCTCGTTTTTATTGGTGCTTTTTGTTTATTATTGAGTTTGTTTTCCCTTATGTTTATCAATTTGGCTTTTCTCTGTGATTTTTTTTTTTTTTGTCGTCTAACCTTTACATATGATTCTTTTGGGAAATTATTGATTTCCTTATTGATTGTTAAGGGAGCTTTTGTTTCATATTCTTTTAGTCTTAGCAACTATTTCAGCTTTTAAAAATTGTTATCATTGTTTTGAAGTCAATTGTATGTATTCTGTTATGTCATAGGGGAAGTCGTGATGTATTTTTCTATGTTTTTCTATGCAAAAATGCACCATAACTTTCCTGGCAGCCCAATATTGTCCTTTACTCTTCTGTGTTCTTTCTTTTATATTTAATATCTTTGTCCGTATGTAGTATTTTCTACTAAAAAGTGTAAAATAAGCTCTAGCTTGGATAATATATCAAACTATACATTTTCTCAGTTTCTTTACAATTACTAGGTGATATTCCATTTATCATACATTAAGTTTAAGCAGAATTTGACTAGCTCTAAGGGTATTATTGTAGGTTGATAACTATTAGGCTTTATTATGGGGCTAAAGAACCAGAAGCCCATTTTAAAATATTTTGTGCACAAAAAAATTAACCCTAGAAGATTTTTGAAGACTTTTATACATGTTTATTTCATCTGCTTACAAAAGAAATACATATTTCATATAGAAAATACTTTACATTAGAGACCATCAGTTGGTGTGGTGGTTAAGGCACTGGACTCCCACATAGCCAACCATGGTTCAAGTCCCAGACCTGGCATTTTACTTTCTCTCTGTCTCTGCCTCTCTCTGGTCAAATTGAATGATAATAGTGAGTAAAATTAAATGATTCTCTAAAAACATACTTTAAGTGACTATATACACGAATATTTTATCATTTGGAGATAATAACCACTCTTTTTAATAGTTAGTGTTAAATTCTGTGTGTTTTTCCCTTGTCTCTGCCTCTCTCTGGTCAAATTGAATGATAATAGTGAGTAAAATTAAATGATTCTCTAAAAACATACTTTAAGTGACTATATACACGAATATTTTATCATTTGGAGATAATAACCACTCTTTTTAATAGTGTTAAATTCTGTGTATTTTTCCCTACCTAGTTGAGATTGTGCTACATATATCAGTTTGATTTTTTTGCTTTGTATATTTAACATTGTTAAGTCTCTTAGAGTCAGTAAATTACTTTTTAATAACTATTTCAGTTATTACTACATAATGTATTGATTTTCACATATTAATATGTGGGGATTCTCTCAACTTTCTTCTAATTGTATCTTTATTTATTTATTTATTTGTTGTTGTTGTTTTCTAATTTGACCAGAGAGAGAGAAAGAGGGAAAGTGAAAATAGCAAGCGACCAGGTTCAGGACTTGAACCATGATTGACCATGTAGGAGTCCAGCATCTTAACCACTGTGCCACCTGCTGGCCCATGTGTCTTTAAGTTTTATTTTCATATTCCCCATTCCTACATTCCTCTGGATAGTGAGATCGCAGTGAGCATCAATTTATAAATCTTGGCACAAGCCCAGTCATTTTATCATTAGCTTTCACCAACACTGAGTAGTTTCATACCCTGAGGAATGTTTGAAGTAAGAATAGAAAAGTAGCCCAATAAAGAAGTGGTCCAACATTTCAGTAAATCATGTTTTCACTTGCCTAGAAGTTGTTGTTAGTTTTTATACTTATAACTTTTTAAAGTTTATCATTTATTTTTCCATGAGCAAGAGTGAGAGACAGGCAGGCAGACAGACAGCACTCCCAACAGGGTCTTGATGCTTCCATCCACCCTGGTCTTCTCCCAGACCTGTGTCACAGACAGGCATGTTCCTGGCATACTCAGGAAGGTCTCCAGGCTTGAATTGAATCAAGGACCTTTCCCTGTGTGTTCACCTCACATAGCATCATGTTTAACTGCTGTGCCACCATCTGACCCCTTAGGAATTTTTTAAAAGTGCTTTGATAGCAATACATGGAGTTCTTAAAATTTATTCACTTATTTATTTTAATTTGACCAGAGAGAGACAGAGAGAGAGAGAGTGGGAAAGTGAGAAACACGCTAACAGGTCCAAGACTTGAACTATGGTCAGCCATGTGGGAGTGTCCAGCACACCACCTACTGGTCCCCTATGGATTTGTTTTAAAGTCTGTGGAAATGTTATGAAAAAATGATGTGTGGACTTCAAATATTTCTTTGCATAAAAATAAACTCAATTTTAATTAATTTTTTCATGAACTTTTTGAAGTCTCATATATTAAACTGTATTAATGTTCATAATAAGAGAATTAGATGTATATTACTCAAAAGTTGCAATTAGAAAAAATATGTTCAATGATATTAATGCAAGGCATTTAAATTGTTGATCAACGATTATTCTTAGCTTGTTTTAGTAATTAGATAGCTATTATTAGAGTAACTATAATGGTTTATTCTGTCTAAATTCAGATTACTAAACATTTATTTGGGGGAGTTTTTTGTTAATCTTTTTTTTGAGAAGACACTATCAAACAGAACAGTCAGAATTTTGGTTCTATCACTTTTAATAGCTATGTTACCTTGAGCAATTTATTTAACCTTTCTGAACTTCAGTTTTATTTTTTAAATAGGGATACTTTTCTTGCTGTAGTGGCATAAAAATAAGTTATGTCTGACAAGTACTTAAAGGGCTGCCTTAAAAATAACTGACTTTCGGGACCAGCAGTTAGCGTAATGGCTGGACTCCCACGTAGTCGACCACGGTTTGAGTCCCGGACCTGGTGGCTTAAACTCACGCCGGGCGCATGTGCATGCGTGCCCAAGATCCCAAGAGGAGAATGGAGGAGAAGGGATTGCGGCGTGGCCATTCCCCCTGGGAGGTGATTTCTCACTTTCTATCTCTCTGTCTGTCTCTGTCTGTCTGGTGAGCACACGTGCCCTATGGCAAAAACTTCTCCAAAAAAAAAGAAAAAATAACTGACTTTCAATAAATGTTGCTTTCTCATTTTTTTCTGAGGAACCAAATGTGTTACTATTGAGATTTAGGCTAGTTTCTGTTTTTATCATCTCAAGTTTCGATCATGAGATTTTGGTCAATGAGGTTTAAATTATAGAGTTTCTCATAATGGGCTATATGATCTCCCCTGTAAATCAATCAGTATGTACATTGCCACTTTGGAACCTTTTAAGACACCGTGTAATGTAAGATAGTATTTTTTTTTAATAACTTTTTATTAGTGACGTGCCAGGTATCTCCCTTTTCCAACTTAAATTGTTTTAATGAATTTATAAAACCAAAGCAAACAGACACTAGCAAAAGCTTTGGAAATATGTCATCTCACATCATGGGTAAATATAATTATAAATTTCTAGGGACACTTTAAGCTCTCCTTAGGTGAGGGTGTCTTCTTTCATAATTGAAATTTGTCTTTTGAGAGTATTTCTGTTGACGATTTAATGGCCATTGTGTATGGATAGCTATAAAATCATGGACACCAATTTAATAATAGATTTATTATTACACTTATCATTACTCGTCTTTCATTCTTAGTATGTTGGTTTTTTTTTTCAATAAATGTGTCCATTTTATCTAAGTTTTTCATGCTTAATATCACAAAACTGAATTACCAGCTTTTCTCTCCAAATTTGTGAGCTATCCAATACTTAATTATTTTAACTTGTTAGCATGTAGAATATAACTTACAGGTCCTGACAGCTTATATTCTAATTGGATGTGAATGTTCAATCCCATTCAAGTGGATGGGTGGAATAACACCAGTTATCATCTGATAAAGAGCTTGTAAAAACAGGTTTACTTATATGTATCCTGCAACAAAGATGATTTTCCTAATCATTTGGGAGTTCAGAAATTCTTAACAGAGTGCTTTAATGGGGATGTAAGATTGTCCAATGTCTGCTTAGTATCTCCTACATAGAGTTGAAAGTGGCATTGAGCCACTAAAAACATAAGTATTTCCATTTGCAGATAGGAAAATGAAATCATTTTTCTACCAGCAATGGCGATTTTTTTTACAAAAAAATTATATACTAATAGGTATTGATGGACTTGTTTATTACATCCTGAAGATATTGTCTTTAAACGTTTGTCAGTTTCTATAATCCTTTCCGAGTGTTGACATCTACTTTTTTGTCTCTAGGTTTTCGAAAAATAAGCTTAGATGACCTTCGGAAGGCATATATCGTCAAGGATGTGCAACAGTACATTCTTCATCGTTTAGACCAAGAAGAAGCTTTGCGACAACACCTTACAAAAGAAACTGCAGAGATGTTAAATCAACTGCACATCAAAAGCAGTGGATGTTTTCTTTACCTAGAACGAGTTCTAGATGGAGTTGTAGAAAACTTTATTATGTTAAGAGAGATTCGTGACATCCCAGGAACTCTGAATGGTCTCTATCTCTGGCTATGCCAAAGACTTTTTGTGAGAAAACAGTTTGCAAAGGTTCAGCCTATTTTGAATGTGATTCTTGCAGCCTGCCGACCTTTGACCATAACGGAATTGTATCATGCTGTATGGACCAAAAATATGTCTCTAACCTTGGAAGACTTCCAACGCAAGTTAGATGTCCTCTCCAAACTTCTTGTCGATGGGTTAGGAAATACGAAAATACTGTTTCATTATAGTTTTGCAGAGTGGCTTCTGGACGTGAAGCACTGTACTCAGAAGTATTTATGTAATGCTGCAGAAGGACACAGGATGTTGGCGATGAGTTATACCTGTCAAGCCAAGAACTTGACACCATTGGAAGCACAAGAATTTGCGTTGCACTTAATCAATTCCAACCTACAATTAGAGACGGCCGAGTTGGCTCTGTGGATGATATGGAATGGTACACCTGTCAGAGACTCTCTGTCTACTTTAATACCCAAGGAACAAGAAGTGCTACAGCTGTTGGTCAAAGCTGGTGCTCATGTCAACAGTGAGGATGACCGCACATCCTGCATAGTTCGGCAAGCCTTAGAGAGAGAGGATTCTATCCGGACATTGTTGGACAACGGAGCGTCAGTAAATCAATGTGATTCAAATGGGAGAACCTTACTGGCCAATGCTGCATACAGTGGCAATCTTGATGTGGTGAACTTACTTGTGTCTAGGGGGGCAGATCTGGAGATAGAAGATGCCCATGGCCATACAGCCCTCACCCTAGCTGCTCGACAAGGACATACCAAGGTGGTGAATTGTTTAATTGGGTGTGGAGCAGATATTAATCACACTGATCAGGACGGCTGGACAGCATTAAGATCTGCTGCGTGGGGCGGCCATACCGAGGTAGTTTCCGCACTACTTTACGCAGGCGTGAAAGTGGATTGTGCGGATGCTGACAGCCGGACGGCTTTGAGAGCCGCGGCATGGGGAGGACATGAGGACATTGTTCTGAATTTGCTACAACATGGTGCTGAAGTTAACAAAGCCGATAATGAAGGGAGAACTGCTTTGATCGCAGCGGCGTACATGGGACACAGAGAGATTGTGGAACACCTGCTGGACCACGGCGCAGAAGTAAATCACGAGGACGTTGATGGCAGGACTGCGCTCTCTGTCGCTGCACTGTGTGTGCCCGCAAGTAAAGGGCATGCGTCAGTAGTCAGCCTTTTAATCGACCGAGGTGCTGAAGTGGACCACTGTGACAAAGACGGTATGACCCCCCTGCTTGTAGCAGCCTATGAAGGCCATGTAGACGTGGTGGACTTGCTTCTGGAGGGGGGAGCAGATGTCGATCACACAGATAACAATGGTCGGACACCCCTCCTCGCAGCAGCTTCGATGGGCCATGCTTCAGTCGTGAACACGCTTTTGTTTTGGGGTGCAGCTGTGGATAGCATCGATAGTGAAGGGAGGACGGTCCTCAGCATCGCGTCAGCCCAGGGGAACGTGGAGGTGGTGCGGACTCTGCTGGATAGAGGGTTAGATGAAAATCACCGGGATGATGCTGGCTGGACGCCTTTGCACATGGCAGCTTTTGAAGGTCACAGATTAATATGCGAAGCGCTCATCGAACAAGGTGCTAGAACAAACGAGATCGACAACGATGGGCGAATCCCTTTCATCTTAGCTTCGCAGGAGGGGCATTATGACTGTGTTCAGATATTACTGGAGAACAAATCCAACATCGATCAGAGAGGCTACGATGGGAGAAACGCGCTGCGGGTCGCTGCCTTAGAAGGGCACAGGGACATTGTTGAACTGCTGTTCAGCCACGGAGCTGATGTTAACTACAAAGATGCCGATGGCAGGCCCACGCTTTATATCTTGGCCTTAGAAAACCAGCTCACCATGGCCGAATATTTTCTAGAAAATGGTGCAAACGTCGAAGCAAGCGATGCTGAAGGAAGAACGGCACTTCACGTTTCCTGCTGGCAGGGCCACATGGAGATGGTGCAGGTCCTGATCGCCTACCACGCCGACGTCAATGCGGCGGACAATGAAAAGCGCTCGGCCTTGCAGTCTGCAGCCTGGCAGGGCCACGTGAAGGTGGTCCAGCTCCTCATTGAGCACAGTGCCGTGGTCGACCACACCTGTAACCAGGGCGCCACTGCACTCTGCATCGCGGCCCAGGAGGGACACATCGACGTCGTCCAGGTTCTGTTAGAGCATGGTGCTGACCCAAACCATGCAGACCAGTTTGGACGCACTGCTATGCGCGTGGCAGCCAAAAATGGACATTCTCAGATAATTAAGTTATTGGAGAAATACGGTGCATCTAGCCTGAATGGCTGCTCTCCATCCCCTGTTCACACCATGGAGCAGAAACCTCTGCAGTCGGTGTCTTCCAAAATGCAGTCGCTAACCATTAAGTCGAACAGCTCTGGTAGTACTGGTGCAGGGGACATGCAGCCTTCACTGCGCGGGTTGCCCAACGGGCCAGCTCACGCATTCAGTTCTCCTTCCGAATCTCCAGATTCTACAGTGGATCGGCAGAAGTCATCGCTGTCAAATAATTCCCTGAAAAGCTCAAAAAATTCGTCTTTGAGAACAACGTCGTCCACAGCCACGGCTCAGACAGTGCCCATCGACAGCTTTCACAGTTTGTCGTTTACAGAGCAAATTCAGCAGCACTCGTTGCCACGCAGCAGAAGCCGACAGTCGATTGTTTCCCCGTCCTCCACCACACAGTCCTTGGGCCAGAGTCACAACTCACCCAGCAGTGAGTTTGAGTGGAGTCAGGTGAAGCCCAGTCTGAAGTCGACTAAAGCAAATAAAGGGAAATCAGAAAACTCCAACAAATCGGGGTCCGCTGGGAAAAAAGCTAAACAGAGTAACTCTTCCCAGCCCAAGGTTTTAGAATACGAGATGACTCAGTTTGATAAAAGAGGACCTACGGCCACATCCGGGATGGGCGCACCCCCTAAGCAAACCCCGGCAGACTCTCAGTGCAAAATTGTGATCCCTGCAGCGCAGCAGGAAATCGGCCGATCTCAACAGCAGTTTCTGATTCACCAACAAAGTGGGGAACAGAAGAAGAGAAATGGAATAATGACAAATCCAAATTACCATCTGCAGAGCAACCAGGTGTTCCTCGGCAGAGTTTCAGTCCCCCGAACAATACAAGACAGAGGGCATCAGGAAGTGTTAGAGGGCTACCCTTCCTCAGAGACAGAATTAAGCCTTAAACAAGCCCTGAAGCTTCAGATCGAGGGTTCGGATCCTAGCTTCAACTACAAAAAGGAAACACCCTTATAAAAGGTACTATTTCATCAGCATAAAGAATAAAGTATCCGAAGTACATTTTCCTCTACTTGGAATGCTCTGTTCCCTAATATTTAACATGGCTGGTTTCCTCACCTTTTAGTCTGTCTGCTTCTCAGCCAGATCTTCCCTTGCCAACCTTTTACATTTGAATTCTCCTCATTCTAATTCTCCCTTTCTCCTTTCTTGCTTTGTTATGCAAAGCTATTATGATTTAACATACTTTATACATTTTTATTTTGTTTACCACTTGCCCCTCCTCCCACTACCAAGTAAACCTTAAGCTTTGTGAGGGTGGGATTTTTATCTGTTTCGTTTGCTGCTAATACTCCCTTTACTCCCAACAGTGCTTGAACCTATAGTAGTTTCTCAGTAAAAATTGGTTGGCTGAGTGACTGAATGAGTGAATAGCCTATATTTGTGGGTCCAGATTAAGAATGCTTCCCTCTAGTCACTTCCTTCTCTTAAAAGATCTTTGGTGGTGACAGCGGACAGCTATTTCTGTAACACTCACCTTTCTGGTTTGAATACAATCGTATATGTAACACTAAGTAGATGGTATTTGTTAATATCATTTCTTTTCACCCAGAAAGAATTCAAATATTTTAACCAGTAAAAGGGAATTTTTACTATGACAGATCTTTAAAGAATCTTCTACGTTGTGTTTCCCCACACCAAGAATGGGTATAAAAGATGGTAAATGGATGTCTTGGCATGTGTATTTAAGACCCAATCTATGACAGTCGTGTTTATTAAATATTGAAATATTCTTTGCCCAACTAAAGGATACTTTACTGATAACATAAGGGAAAATAATGAAGAAAGTAAATAGGTACTTTAGCGGGTAGACGCTTTTTCAGAAGCACGTTTTCCATATTGGTGGTGCATGGATTTTATTAGGAATCTTTGCTCACTGATACCATACGTATCTCACTTTGCTTAATCATTTTTCTTTCGCCAACAAAATTGTAGTCTTTCATCAACAAATTGAAATCTCTTTTGCTTTTGTCTTTGGGGGTGTAGTTCAGGGATATGATAGGTGAAACACTAATATAAATAACTTCTAACTATAAGCACTGTAAGAAATATTCTGTTAAAAGAATCAGTGGGCAACCAAATGTCATTCGGAAATACTTTGTATGAAGCAGTTAATTTATTCTCCAATGTGACCTATTTTTAACATTTTGGGGGTTCTGATGGTACAACCTTCCAACTGTTGTGGTATCTTTTGCAAAAGCAAAGTGGAAATATAAACAGTAAACACATGAATGAAACATTTTGTAGAATCTTTAACAGCGCCTCATGAGTTAAATAATGAATTTCTGATACACAAGTGTACTTTGTGCTTTACATGGTAAAAAGGGAAGGAGGTGGACTGATACATAGATAGATGTACTCTCATATAATGTCCTAAAACTAGACGTAGCTATATAATACATATAATAGAGAAATTAATTCTTTTTTTTCTTTTTAACTTTTGCATTAGTTTCCTATTCTGTGAAACAGAAGACATTGTGATTGGAGCGGTTCTTCAGCTACTGGATGAAAATATAAAATGCCTGTTCATTTGCTGAAAACAAACATAAAATGAAGAATGTGATATCTGCAGTACAGTTACCTTAATTACTGTAATGTGCCTAAATAGTAAGGCTGCCTTCTCAGTGTAACCCTCTGTGCTTAAATTGTTTTCATTTTGTGTGCTTTGTATTCACTACACAAGAATAAGCACTTTTTAAAAAATGCAGGCATATACTGCAGTTCCCTGATAAAAGCTGAAAAAAATTTTGAGTATTTTAAGATTTGATAAATGTGCATGTGCCATGGTCAAATATATACGAAAAGGCAGTGTTCCTTGTATTTATTTTTTTTTTCTTTTTGTGGCAAAAGAAATTTAAGCATACTGTGTCACATTTACATCGTAGCGTATGGCCTGTTTCTTGTATCTTAAACAATGTTAAATAAATGTTGTAACTGTTCTATGTTCTCTATACCTTCAGCATTGGAAAAAAAAATGAGTTTCTACATAAATGCCACATTGAAGTGAAAAAATGGTTTCTTGGCAGATTTTTTTCTTTTTAACTAATTTCTAGTAGTTTAGGGAGCTGCTCTGAGTAGTTTAAATCTGGGTTTTCCCAGTAGAGTCCTCCTCATCTCTGACTAAATGTGTCAGACAGACAACCAACCAGGCTGTAGGCAGAACAACGTTCAGTTTCATTCACTGGAATGCAATTTCACCTTCCACTCACTTGTCATTCCACCTCCAAGACTGTGGACTATCATTCCTGAGGCTTGTAAATTCTCAGGGACAGAGCCATGCCTCAGTCACATGTGCAAAGGGAGATGCACCTGTCTAAAAGTAAATTTTCTTTTTTTTTTTTTTTAAGAGAGTTTTTTTTGTTGTTGTTGTTCTAGGGTGCTTGCACTCCTGGAGAGACAGAGACAGACAGAGAGACAGAAGGTGAAAAATCATGCCCTTCCCCCAGCCCCAGGAGGGATGGCCACACTACAATCCCTTCTCCTCCATTCTCCTCTTGGGATTTTGGGCATACAAGCACACACCCAGCATGAGTTTTTTAAGCTGCCAGGTCCGGGACTTGAACTGTGGTAGGAGTCCGGCGATGTAACCATTATGTTATCTGCTGGTCCTGCAAGTGTAGAGTTTTGATCCCTGGACCATTGACTACCCTTATCCCTTCCTCCCAGCTAAATATTATAAAACATACCAGTTTAAACATTCATGCTGGCTTCTCCCTCTGCTGTTTCTATTCTGTGAATTAGTACATGACCTAAACAGCCCTGCTCGAAATCAGCTGGGTTCATTTCAATGGTTTAGTTAGACAACTATTCTTGATGAATGTGATAGGTGCTGTCCTTCACAGATGACACCACTAACCCATCAGTCATAGCACATGTTGCATTTTTTTCTTTTTTTTTGATAAATAATAGTGATGGATTTGCACTTTTCTTTCCACATACTCTTTCCTGTTTTCTTCTTTAGACAATAGCATGCAGGCTGGCTGGATGACAGGCTTGACAGAGAAGTCTGTAGCCCGGGAAGTAAAATGCATTCAAATACACACGTGACCCACAGCCTTGGCTTCCTGGATGTACTCCATCTGAGCTAGCTCAGATCGGTTGTGGGCATGTCTGGAAAGGCAGGCCTCATGGTTTAGAAGCCAAGGTAGTGGACTTTGATCTTTGAATGAGCCCTGGTCACCTTACAAGAGCCCACATATTGTGTTCTTCCCATGGTGCTGTTGACAAGAAGGTGAAAGGAAAGAGAATTTGGAAATTTAGCACAAAACCATTGCTACTGCTGAACAAAGAAAGTCTTGAGAACCTTAGTAACAGAGGTCAGTAATGTCATCTTCACAGATGAAGGACACTCGGGATGCATTGTTTGTGGAAATAGACATGCGTAATCAGTTGTCATAAATGTTTCACTTGAATATTTGTGTAAGGCTTTTTTCTTGCTTTTGTTTCAAGTCAGCCAGACTCATTTTGTCTGTGTCATCTGTAAGTGATAATCAGGACTAGGAGACAAATTGATACGTTCAGTCGACATTAGGGTGACATGGCAATATGGATAACTCGAATGTGAATGTTTCAAGTATTGAATTCTTGTCCCTATGGGACATTTATTAAATACACTTAATAGGACTCTTGCAAAGTAGCCTTAAAAGTGTTAATGATTCTATTAACAAATACGAACACATACTATTATTGGAACCAACTTTACTCTTATCTCAAATACAGTACATTTACATTACTGTAGAGGATGAAACTCTAATTTCTTATTAGGTGTATTTTTCTTTAGAAAGAGAACCCTGAACGCTGCCAGTTTTTCTATTAACCTTGAATTATTGAAAGTGTATTTATTTAATTTTATTGTTTTTACAAAATTGCACCTTGTGGCCAAAGGGCAAAGATAGAACTCATTGCATAAGGGATTTATGTTTTACAAAGAGCTAAATGTTTTCATATCCATACTATAGACACTTGAAACAGTTGGTAGGAGGAGAACTTGATGGAAACATACGATTTTCGAAAGTTAAGTATTCCTCTGGATGGTTTTATATAAATTATGTTTTTGGAATAGAACCTTAAATGACTTTCAGTTAGGATAAGATGGTAAGGGTGCTGAGATACCCGGCTTCACTTGCTTATTTCTGTGGGGGATTTAATACCATAACTGAAAATGGCTTCTGCTCCATTAAAAAAGAAGAAGAATCCCCCAAATATAAAACCTCTAAATAGCTATTTTTGAAGTTAAAATGTTTAAATTTTGTAAATTAGCTGTTGCTACTACACAACTTATGATGTCATGTGTTTATAACATTTTTATAACATTTCATCTGTGCCCATTCTCTAAAAATCATGAATAAAAAAATATTTTAAAAAAGCAATGAAAAATTAAAACATGAACATTTATTTCCAGGAAGGTTTCAGAGGAAAACTGACCAGAAATCACTGTAAAAAGCAAAGTACAGCCAATATTTTTTGCCCCCTCTTCCTCACCTCAACAGCCCCCAGAATCCTCACCAAAAACAGTTCACTGCTTAAAAAACAGGAATAAATATTTCTCTCAATATTGTTTTGGCTATGCAAACGTTTGTTTTATTTAATGTCCCCCAGTTAAACTTCTCAGCAAATGTAGTTGCAGACAAATGCTTTTTTTTTTTTTTTTAATTTTTTCCCTTGGTTTGGGTATGTAAATAGCATAAAATGTACATTGAATTTCACATTGTAAAGGTTTTATTTTATTCCTTGTATAATATTACGCAAAAATCCCTATGTATATGAAAGTGCATAATAAATATATTTGCTTTACAGTGGATATCTTGTTTTAATTTTATCCTTGAACCAGTAGAACACGCATGATATGGTGATAGTACAAACAACTGTTGTTTTATGTTAGTATTTCAAGTAAATGTTGAGGAAACGAATTTGAAAACATTAAGAATGAGATACATTGTCATAAGGAAGGCAGAAAAACAAAAAGATTTAGCCTTTCTTTCTTTCTAAAGCTTCTAGAAGGACTTATTTTTTCTCCCTGACAGGTTATAGATCACTGTGTCAGATTTCATGTGTCTGAGAATTACAGAGCACAGTAAATTGTGTACGTGTGTGTTCCTTGATTGTCACAATAACAGCCATCTTCCATAGGTTATTTTGGGCTTTTATTGCAGACATGGTCATTTGTTTCTGAATAAAACTTGTGTGTCTTCACTCATTAAACTTGAGTACTTCTTCATGACCTTCCGTATTACACACAAGAACACACGTACACACACACACACACACACACACACAGTTACCTCAAAGAGAGAGTTCGTAAAGGCCAATGAGGTATTTTTCTGTTCCCTTAATCATATTTTTTTATTCATTTGCTGGATTAATCAAAATCTATTCTCAAAAAGTTTAAGAATATAAAATGTGTAAACACAAATGGGTGGTATACATAGAATTTTAAAACGGGTGGTTGCTAAATTTATATGGTGTTTTCTAGTTAGTGGTCCATAGATATATACTGAAAGAACATGGCAATTACTAATGTTTTCACCCTCAGCCCTACCAGTTGGAAAGATTCCAAATAGTAGTAGTGATATACACACTGAAGGATTATATTGCTGAATTTGAGTTTTCACTTATCACACAAATGTATGCTCTAATCTTTTTGTCAAGATATGGTCTCTGCTTGCCAGTCTTGTTATTATAGTAAAAATTAAAATTTCCCACTATTAAAATGGATTCAGTTTTTTAAAGAATTATTTTATTTAATTTTATTACTATAATTTTAATTTGACCAGGGAGAGACAGAGAGAGGGAAAGTGAGAAAGCAAGCCGCCAGATCTGGGACTTGAACAGTGATTGGCCATGTGGGAGTCCAATGCCTTTAACCACCCACCGCACTACCTACTGGCTCCCAAATGGATTTGTTTTAAATTTATTAAATGTTTTGATTTCCATTCTTAAATTCACTTTCATTAATAAACTGGTAAAACTTTAAGTTCTAAAAGCCATATTCTTAAAAGAATATATTTGTAATGTTTAGAAGACCCCTGTGTACATAGCTTTTTATTTATTTATTCCTGGTCTTTATGGGTGAACATTAATATACAAACAGTTCCTATCAAAATATGGATTATTACAATGGATTAATGTACCACTTTTACTCTAGTATGAACGCAATACACATTAAATAGATACTGTACTGTGAATACTCATCCAAGCATTATCTTTCATTTTCAGTACAGTGTTCCCTAAATTATATTACTGCCTCTGACACCCACTGGTTTTATGTCTGAAAATCACATAATAAACAACCTATTGTACCTGGCTTATTTAGTGTAGTGCTTTTGAGATTCAGCCATGTTGTAGCACAGATGAGTAGCATGGCATTTTGATGCTGAGTAATATACAATATTCTACTCTTAAGTCCGTACCCATATTTTAATTAGGTTGAAATGTTTTATTATTCCTTCTAATTGAGAAGTAAACGTTCTTTATATATTTTACATACAATATTCATTTGATGGAAGGACTACCTTGTCCCCATTGAATTTGGCATTTTTGTTGAAAGTGAACTGAGGACTAGCAGATGGCATAATGGTTATGTGGCTGGACTCCCACATAGTTGACCATGGTTCAAATCCTGGACCTGGGAGCTTAAAACTCACACCCGGTGCATGTGTATGTGTGCCCAAGATCCTAGAGGAGGATAGAAGAGAAGGGATTGTGGTGTGGCCATTCCCCTGGGGGGTGATTTCTTGCTTTCTTGCTTTCTGTCTCTCTGTCTCTCTCAGTCTCTCCAGTGAGCACATGCACCCCATAGCAAAAATCTCTCTAGAAAAGAAAGAAAAATGAACATGCCCATGTAAATCTGTTGATGGACTCCATTCTGTTCCATTAATCTACATGTTCCCCTGATTCATAGTTTTCCACCTGTTCTGGGCCTTGTTAACTGACTGACATAGGAATCACTGCCTGAGCTAACCCTATTCCCCACCCCTAGGTAGTACAATTCCCTAATTCATACTTCCCTCGCTCTAGTTTCATCTAAATTGAGCAAAAAGGACTTAATTGTGTTTTCAGTTTTCCTTTTCAGGAAAATCTTGTATGTTTTTCACATAGTATATCATTTCCCTTATAACTTGGGTCAAATATTTATTTTATCTAATAATTAGTGCTTTGCAATAGCCCTATAGGGTAAGAATTACTATCTTCATTATTGTACAGATGGACACCTAACATCTGTATTGAGATTTAAATGATTTGCCTAAGAGCACCTAGTGAGTGAAAAAACAAAACTGAATCTCAGTAGGCTTGCTTTAGTACCTATACTACTAATCCCTGTGCTGTCATTGGGTTGTCTGGAAAGTTCCAACACAGTTTAGCATA